GCAAGCCCAACAGGAACAAATGAGGATGCTGATCGCTACTCTGGCCAACAACCAGAGCGTAGCCGTACACGATGCCAGCAAGGATCAATACGATCAGCTGAGCAAGGATGTGCAAAGGTTCGTCTCCGACGAAGACACAGGTAATACCTTTGCGTACTGGTACAGCAGGTACGGACCGGTCATAAGCGAGTCCTTGTTGCCAGACAACAAGAAGCGTGACCTGGTCCTCTGGACGAATAAGCATACCGGAAGGCAGATGAGGTCCTGCCTGCAAAGCCACACGACTTGGATTTTAGCGCAACTATCGAAAAACTTCAGAAGCTGTTCGCATCCAAGAAGACTCTGATAAGAAGAAGGTTCGAGTGCCTCCGCGTCACCTCCCCACCGCTTACGACGTATGTACCGTTCCGAGATTACGCCAACACAATCAAGCGGATGGATGAGGACGCTCGACTCAAGGAGCTCGACTACACTGCTATGAAGACGCTACAATTCGTAGCCGGCCTTCAAGACCCGTCATTGCGAGACGTCCGCCTGAGGATGATTCGCAGGCTGGATGCACATACGGACGAAACACCGCTGACAATCGAGGACTTGGTCAGCGAATGCGAGAATTACACCGCGTCGAAAATGGACAACACGGATATGGAAGGAACCCGCGATGTTCATGCGGTGTGGAAGAAAAAGGTAGATTGTTTCAGATGTGGAGGCCCGCATTTTAGCAGGGACTGTCCACAACTAGCTAGAACGGGCCAAAGGAAGCGACGGAAGACAGGGACTCAGCCTTATGGTCGAAGAAAACAATGCAAGAACGTGATCGCCTTCGACGCCGAGAACGCCCGCACCTACCTTGACGTTGTGGTCAAAGGATTTCCTCTCAAGCTCCAATTGGACACGGGTGCGGATATAACGCTGATATCCCGTAAAGCCTGGAAGAGGATGAGATCTCCAGCTTTAGAACCGTGCGTGATGCCTGTAAAGACAGCGGACGGGACACCAATGCAGACCGACGGTAAATTTCTGACGGATTTCAAGGTCAAAGATCGAGTTACAGGACGGATGGTCTATGGAAAAGGAACATGCTATGTCACCGAAGGCTCGAATCTCCTGGGATTGGAATGGTGCATCTAATTGCCAGCCTACAAGAAACTGAAGACGAAGTACAACTGCATTAAGGTGGCTAGCGAAGAAGCAATTCGAGCCGAAGTTGTTGCCGACTTGAAGAACAAGTATCTAGATGTCTTCAGCAGCTAACTAGGGAAATGCAAGAAGAGCAAAGCTAGGTTAGTCTTGAAGTAAGATGCTGTCCCGGTCTTCAAGAAGAAGAGACCAGTTCCATACGCCACAGCACCGGAACTGGAGGCAGAAATCGATCGGCTGGTAGCGAAGGAGTCATTTCTGCCGTGGAACACTCAGAGTGGGCCGCTCCAATAGTCGCCGTCAAGAAGAAAAATGACAGGATCCGTCTATGCGCCGACTTCTCGACGGGACTCAACGATGCATTGCAGCTGCATCAGCATCCATTGCCCACAGCGGAGGATGTGTTCACCAAGCTTAATGGAGGCCAGCTCTTCACTCAGCTCGATTTGGCCGAGGCATATCTACAAGTGGAAGTTGAGGAAGCATCGAAGGAGATGCTAACTATCAATACGCACAAGGGATTGTATCGCTACAATCGCCTTCCCTTTGGAGTGAAATCGGCTCCAGGTATATTCCAACAAATCATGGATTCCATGATAAGCGGTCTTGATGGAGTAGCCGCTTATCTTGATGACATCATTATCACTGGAAGAAGTTATGAGGAGCACCGACAAAACTTGGAAGCCTTGTTCAGGCGAATCAAGGATTACGGATTCCACGTCAGGTTAGAAAAGTGCAACTTTCTGATGCCTGAGATCTGTTACTTAGGTTGCATCATCGACAAAAACGGACGCCGGCCGGACCCAAAGAAAATCGAGGTAATTCAACAGATGCCAGCGCCGAAGAACATAGCGGATGTCCGATTCTTCCTTGGGATGATCAACTACTATGGATTGTTCGTCGCAGAGATGCGCCAACTTCGTGCACCCCTGGACGCACTGCTTAAAAAGGACGCGAAGTTTGAATGGACAGAAAAATGTCAAAACGCATTCAAGCGTGCCAAGGAAGTCTTAGCCTCTGATCTACTCCTCACACACTTCGATCCAAAATTGCAGATAGTAATAGCTGCCGACGCATCGGACTACGGAATCGGAGCCGTAATTCTGCACAAGATGCCGGATGGTACAGAGAAGGCCATTTGCCATGCAAGCAGGAGCCTCACAGCAGCAGAACGGAACTACGGACAAATTGAGAAAGAAAAAAGAACTAGCACTGGTGTTCGCAGTTCGTAAGTTCCATCGGTTTATATACGGACGACGGCTCAGATTGCTTACCGATCACAAGCCGCTGCTACACATCTTTGGACCCAAGAAGATGGTACCTGTGTACACAGCGAACAGGCTACAACGATGAAAGCTCATTCTACTCGCGTACGACTTCGATCTGGAGTACCGCAAGACGACCGAATTCGGACAAGCCGATGCACTGTCTCGACTGATTCCTCCCCGGCCATTCCAGACCGAAGACGTCGTCATAGCGAAAATAGAAGAAGATGTGCGAGCCATTCAAGCTGCTACTGTACGAGCGCTAAAAGTAGCCCGAAGGAAGATAGAAGAAGAATCCCGCAAGGACAAAACTATTGCGCAAGTTATACGAATGCTGCAATCGGGAGCATGGGCCGTCCAAGCCTAAAGAAGATGCCAAAATTGAAGAGCACTAAGAGAGAATTTATCAGTGCAGATGTTTGTATTTCGCCCACAGAATAGTCATTCCAGCCTCATTGAGACAAGCGGTTCTGAAGCAGTTACACGAGGGACACCCTGGAATGACAAGGATGAAGATGCTCGCGAGAGGATTCGCATATTGGATGGGCATCAACAGAGAAATTGAAGATTCAGTGCGCCGCTGTAGGGATTGTCAGGAAGCCTCCAAAATGCCAGTGAAGACGTTGCTGCATTCATGGAAAGTAAAAGATAAACCATGGAATCGACTTCACATTGACTACGCAGGGCCGCTGAATGGCAAGATGTATCTCGTCGTAGTTGACGCTTACTCGAAGTGGCCAGAAGTATTTGAGATGCCTTCAACATCAACTACAGCTACATTGAAGGAACTCAGATCTCTATTTGCACGATTTGGAAATCCGCGAGTGATCGTGTCGGATAATGGGACGCAGTTCACAGCAAAGGAGTTCCAAGATTTTTGTGAAGAGCGAGGAATCAAGCATATGCGTTCGCCTCCATTCCATCCACAATCAAATGGACAAGCGAAAAGGTTTGTGGTTCAAAAGAGCCTTCCAGAGGAATCTTCAAGAGAGCCTTCCAGGAATCTTTAAGAGAGTCTTCCAGAAAATTAAGAAGGGAGGAACGGCAGAGAAGCTGGCGGAGTTTCTGCAGTCTTATCGACGGACGCCTTGCACAACTGCTCCAGAACAACGTTCGCCTGCCGAGCTGCTCCTGGGACGTCAGATAAGGACACCACTGTCGCTGCTGAATGAAGACTCCAAAGAAGAAGGAATGGGCAATGGAAACATGGAGATGCAGTTTAACCGCCAGCCACAAGAAGCCGTGTGGGTACGTGATTTTCGCTCTGGATGTGAGAAATGGATTCCAGCACTAGTGAAGAAACGCTATGGAGAAGCGCTATACGGCGTGCTTACTGAAGACGGTCAGTTATGGAGACGTCATGCGAACCAGATGCGCCTCGCAGCAAGTATGGATCGACATCATGACGCAACACAGTCCATTCCCGACGAAGGCCGACGTAACAATGGTATGGATGCTGCTGAACCCCAAGCCACCTCGACTACGTTACCAACATCAACCAGACCAAGTCGCCATCGTCGCCCACCAGAACGTCTACAGGTAGATCCTCATTTTAAGATGTATTGTTGTTCATCTTAGGAGGGAGGTGTTGCAGAGCCGTCTTTCATATTGGAACTTGCGCGCTTACTATAGGCTAGGTGGATATGGTCTCTGTGGTTGCGGCGTACTCGCCGCACCTTGATATGTTTGTGTGTGTTGTTCCCTAGTTATTCCTAGTGAACCCTCGGCATGTACGCCGATAGGCAGAGGGGAACTCTTGTGTTTTTCTAATAAATCGTCAACGGCTCAACGCGTTCTACATCAGTAACAAATAATTTCAAACAGAATCTAAGCTCTATTCATGGATTTAGAGTAAGGATGATGAAGGAGAAGATTTTAGGGAAACATTTTAGAACTTCGGCTTAACCAATGAGTTCCGAAGACGAAAGAGCAAATGAGAAAGTAAGAAAAGCTAGCGTTTTAATAGCACAAAAGGTTTCTAATGAAAAGGTTTTGCTTCAGAAACCAGTGCTTGAAAGAAGAGATAAGAACAATGCGCAATGATTATAAATCAGCTTAACATTATGCTCAACACTTCATTACGTTTTGGGAAACAGAGCATGCTTTTGAAGATTGTAGCATGACACACAGTGATGCAGTTAAGAAGTTTTTACACGCAACTATAGCACCGAATTGTTATAACTGAAACTATAACTATAACTGCCTAACTAGCTACACTTTATGTCTATTCTAATTATCTGCAGAACTCACTTCTATGCAAGACGATCAATCCTAGTTCGAAACTGTTTGTGGACCTGACGAAGACCTGGCAAGCAGACCCGCAGCCATTTTCGCTCAATGTTAGTTATGTGGAAACCGTTTTAAAATACACGATTACAATACAGCAATGGAAATTCAAGCGCTCTGGAAGTATTAGGGAGTCATCTGTCACAGGGAACATGAAGAACTTTATTCAAGGATTTTTCAGTCATGTTATAGTGTAGGGAAGTTCCAGCTTGAAACCAAGGCTTAGCACAGGATATGTTCTCACAACTAGTCTTTTCCATATTTCACAAACAGATTCAACATTTAGCTATTAAAGCAATCAGGTATTATCTAGACGTCCATCATACCAGCTTTTGCTAACTCTTCCGGTTTGCAGTTGTTTTTGCTTCTGATCATGCGGAAAAATCCTATAAGAACGTTTGATGCTTGTTTCAGAGCCTTGCATCCGATATACTAAATCGTTCAAAAGTTCTCCGTTTCTGTGCCTGTCATAGAAACACGTGGAATGAAGATGAACCCAGATTTCAAAAACTAATACAGTTTTACTTTTCTTTCCAGTAGTTGTGACTCCGGATTATTTCGTTCAGCGGGATAATCGTCGAAATCTCAATCCTAGTTTTGACCATGACCAAGTTTGGTAACTTTTTTAAATTTCTCGCTTTGAACATCTGGGAAAGCTCTGATGACAGGGTGGAGTGGTTAATTTTTTGATGCTAACATATTCTTTAAGTTCGGCCAAAACTTACGAAACATCAACTGATAAGCAACTCGAGTGTTATTCGATGCAGTTTTTCTCTTTCTGTTAAGAGGTGTTTTCTTCTCCTGATTTGTTGATCTTTCGCGGACAAAATATGTAATCATAGTTATAAATTTTGAAAGCGCCAAAGGAGTGTACCAAAAACTTCGAAATTCATTGATTTGAGGCGGTAAACGCTCATTTGCCTTATACAGCCAGTGTTGAACGTGATTTAACGCAAGTTTTGGACTCTCGACTTCCAAAGACTTTTTAGTAAAAAGAAAGAATTTTTGAAACGACCAAATATTGAGCCCGAAAGTTCAGGCCGTTTTTTAGACCCATCCTCAGATCACTCAAAATAATGGTGGAAAAAAGCTCTAAACAGTGTCTAATGCAGTTTATTCTTCTTTCTAAAGTGCGGTTCATAATTATACGAACACCCCAATTTTTGGAAGTTCTTGGACTTTTTGACAGAAACTCAAAAAGCCTTTGGTACCACGCGAAAGAGCACAGCCGAAAACGGTATATGATCCATAAGAATGGAAATTGATGTAAATCTTAGAAGTGTTGTTGCGCCTAATGCAAATTTTTAGCGGTTCATAGTTATACGAACACCTCAAACAAAGGTCCATTTTTCATTCAAGTTTGCAGTCATTTGAGTCCAAATTTTTTCGTAGATTTACAGTAACAAAATCTGACGTATCCGCTACACACTGAACCCAGTGCAGTTCAAAAAGAGGACAGTTACTTTTTTCAGAAGGCTCTAAATGCTTCTGGAGTGATTGCGCTCCAAAAACGTCCGTTCTTCTGCGGTTTACGCGCTCTAATTAGCTTCTACCAAAGCTATGGGATAAAATAAGTTCTTTCGATAGGTATTTTGTCTGACGCTTAGAAAATCTTTGCGTTTTCGTGCCGTTTTTCAACCAAGTTCCAACCTTACCACGGAGTTAGCACGATTTCGAGCCTCAAAACTCAGCTTCTGAAGCCGTACAATGAAGCAAGCACATAGTATGTGAAAGTTCACAAGAATGCATATTTGGTTAGAAAAAATCAGCAGCGCTGAGCGTTTGTTTGGGCCACGCAGACGTCATTTCACCAAAAACACTGTTTTTACTATTGCAGTCATACCTTTATTTGGTTTTTAGCTCCATGGCCTCAAGATCAGTTCCACAAAAAACCCAAAAACTTTGGCACAGAAACATCATCACGCAAATAATGCAGCGGCTTCATATCAAATGTTTGCGCAAGAGAGAAGCTGAGTTTTGAGGCTCAAAATCGTGCTAACTCTGTGGTAAGGTTGGAACTTGGTTGAAAAACGACACGAAAACGCAAAGCTTTTCCAAGCGTCAAACAAAATACTTATCGAAAGGGCTTATTTTATCTCATAGCTTTGGTAGAAGCTAATCAGAGCGCGTAAACTACAGAAGAACGGATGTTTTTGGAGCGCAATCACTCCAAAATCATTTAGAGCCTTCTGAAAAAAGTAACGGTTTTCTTTTTGAACTGCACTGGGTTCAGTGTGTAGCAGATATGCCAGACTTTGTTACTGTAACTCTACAAAAAATTTGGACTCAAATGACTGCAAACTTGAATGAAAAATGGACCTTTGTTTGAGGTGTTCGTATAATTATGAACCGCTAAAAATTTGCATTAGGCGCAAAAACACTTCTAAGATTTACATCAAATTCCATTCTTATGAATCATATACCGTTTTCGGCTATGCTCTTTCGCGTGGTACCAACGGCTTTTTGAGTTTCTCGCAAAAAGTCCAAAAACATACAAAATTTTGGGTGTTCGTATAATTATGAACCGCACTTTATTCTGCTTCGGTTTCTAGCCTTCTGACGGTTGTTCAAATGCCTGTCATTAAGCTACTATTTAATTTCATTTTAGACTCCTGGAAGAGTATCGATAACAGTTGGATAGATTAAGCAAAATGCATTACTGATTATTTGGACCTCTTCAACTGACTCATCAATACTTTCCAAAATAGTTTTTTTTGAAAGTCTTCAGTTTCAAATTTAATCTACACAAATTTTAACACTAGTTTATCTTCGAATTTGAAGCTTTCAAAGATCGGCTATAATTGAGCAATAATTTGGAAAAGCAAAGGAGAGTTTGCTGTTTTGAAATATCAACTTCTGAGTATTCTGAGCGCGGCTTGGACGTCCAAAAAACAAAAATTATGCAACTTCTATCTGCGAAGCCACCAGGGAACGAAAAACACTCATGGAAAGAAGAGTATAGGCTATATCGATTTGACGTCCCATGAGATTGGTCCGCTTAAATATGGAAATTGATAGCATGAAAAAAAATAATTTTGCAAATTCAATGCCTCCAAAACTCCGAAATTGAACTCTAAAAAATAGCTAAAGTAGGGTGTGTAAACCATGGGTTGCAGATCTTGAAGATTATTCGACGTGCACCAAAAGAGATGGAACCAAAACCTCACTGCTAAAAAAGGTACATTCTGCATCGAACACTATTTAGAGCTTTCGTCCATCGTTATTCTAAGTGATTTAGAATAGGTCAAACGGCACGAACTTTCGGACCAACCTAAAGATACTAAAATAATTCTCCATAATCACAGGTACATAAAAGATACCTTTTTCTCCCCAGTCAATATTCCACGAATTAGCGATAATCCAGTAAGGCCTTTTCTGTCCTTCTTTCTCGACACCCCAACCAATAATTTTGATTGCATGACCTCCACTGCGTGCGCCAGCAATGTGCTAAAATGGTTACCAACTTTGAGTCTACTAAAACTGAAGAAACTTGCGACTTCAAAAATACTTAAAATTCAAGGATTCACGCATCTTTATCACCGTACATGATTTTGTGTGACCAGATGATAACGAGAGCTCACTTCATAGATCCCTCCAGAGTATGGCCGGAAATCTACATAAGTATCAAATGCTGATTGCACCAGTCCGTTCGTCATAAGTTCTTCCTTGATAGCTTCTTCGTTTGCTGCTATCGTGTAGTAATTTTTTGCTACAATCTTGACAATAACTGTAGATAAAATCTAATGAGAATTCAAATCTACCGTAAATTTTGTTCTTCTTATACGGGGTAAAGTAACCTCGTTGGCATTTATCAGTGCATACTGGTGTTTCATACTTTTTGGAAGGACACTCGCCATAGTACGTCTGGTTTGTGTGTCTACCGCATGGATGAAATGCATATGGCTTGCACACATTCTGGAAGATTAAAGCTGATTGAGATGAAATACATATTTTGACATGGTAAAGAAAATTGCGAATTTGGTGAAACATACAAGGTGTTCCAAAAAATGTGCACAGTGTTTGTTCGTTGATGACTTCCTTGCCTTAATGTCTTCCCGATTTCTAGGCACCATTCTGTGGAGCTCGTATTAACCTAGATTGACAGTTTAGGCAAATCACTGATTCCTCTTAGTTACTATAGGATTACGGTAGAAGCTTTTAGCATATTAGGTTGCTGCATAAGTTCTGTTCAATTTGAATATTTTGACTTCAAAATGTCATAACTTCTTTCAAAGTCAACTTTTTTAAAGATCTTAGATTCTTTGTGATGAGCAATTCCTTCGCTATCAGCTGCATGTTCAGAATTGAGCAAACCCTTGTTAAGGAAGAAGCAGTAATGCAAAAACTTTACAGCGTTTTTCTTCAAACCTGTCTTTTTTGACATGGCAACGCTCCCTTATGAGAATTGATAAACATCTTATCTAAAAAAGGATAGATAGATAAATTTTCGTTCATTATTAAGCTGCATAAAAGAGCCTATAAAGTTTGCCTTCTCGAGAGATTTTTTTGTCCGAACAAAAAAGAAGCCACTTTTTGACCTCGCTTCAACACATGTGTGCATGCCTATTTACGAATTATGAAAATTTTACAACTGAGGTGAGCGCCGACAAAATTGGTGGATGGGCTTTGCTAGCTCTTGCTTTACCCTAGCACTTCCAATTTTGAACTCATCGATTACTTCTATTCGCAGAAAGTTATTGCCTGTAAAACATCTATACAGAAAATTAACGTTCGACAATAAATTTTACTAGCAAGACGTTTTGTTCATAGAACCGAACTTTACATATACTAGCCTTCCACACCCTTATTCCGCAGCCAGTGAAAGAGCTTGACTTGAAAGGCGCATTGTGGAGATTTCCTCGCAAGAACATATATCTAGGGTGAGAACGTACCTCGGCCACTTAGAGATTTAAGGCCTGAAATATCCGTATACTAAGAAATTTCTTGAAATCTGATACGCTTTAAAAAGAGCAAGGAAAGCACTTCCTAATGATATCAACATTAGACTCCATTAAAGTTGAAATTCTTATAGAACAGCTGTTTCAAACATAAGGCAAAAAATCGGACAGAACTTATACAGCAACCTAATACAATGCTATTGTAAAATACATCGTTTGATAAGAAAAGTTTTAATAGATATATATCTTGTAGCAGGGTTTTCGCGCATGCTGATTTATCATACAACGTTTTACAAGTTTTCTGAGCTTTTAGTCTTTGAACAGATTTATGAAAACATTGAAAAAGTACTCTTACAGTTCGAGTATAACTAACGGGAGGAGCATATCTTTAACACACTGACGACTGCTTGACACATATGGTGTGTCAAGCAATGACTACCGCGTGGGACCGCTTGACACACCATGTGTAGGTGTACTGTAAATGCTACTATGCGTAATTGTAATTGAAAAACGTGGACTGGTTCGTAAAAGAAATCGGTCCCAGAAGGCAAACAACTAAAAATCTGCATGGTTGTCAAAGTGGTCAACTTGCGAGTTTCATATTTGAAATTCAGCATTTCATAGTCCTAGTATAAAAGATTCTTGGCTTGTCCGGTTTCTTTTCTGAAGCAAAATTTTCGAACTTCAAGGTTTGGAACCCTCATTAAAGTTTTTTATCGTAATCCTACAGTAACGAGAAGGGACTGGAAATATGCTTTATAGAGTAAATCTGAGTTGAAGCGAGCTGGACAAAATGGTGCCCTAAAATTGACAAAAGACCTTGAAGCAAGAGTGTTATTGAAGGCTCAACAGTGTGCACAGTTTTCAGCATTCCCTTTGTATGATATAAAAGAGCCAAGTATACTTATAGTATACAGAAGAGTATATCAGGTTGCCCCATAAGTTCCGTCCGTTTTGAATTTCCATCGCAATACGTAAACTTCTCGTTTCTAGATAGGCTCTAAGGTACCGTTCGATAGAGCAAAGCAAGCTCTATAAGATGGCTTTCTTAATTTTGCACCAGCTCTGATCCAGATCGAGTTTCAAGCCGAAAACTAAAAAGATTCAACTGCCCGAAGAATCGAGAAAAATCGGAACTCTGTTCATAAAAATCCTACAAAAATTCTAATTTGCCCACGTAAATACTATCCATCTAATACATTTATATAGGCTGTTGCCGTATTTTTTCCTCGGTTAAAAAATCAAGAAAACAAGATTTTTATGCTTTTGCCAAAGTGATGCTGCGCTGTCTCTCATAGATAGTTGTATAGTACTGTAGAAGTGCAAATGCAAATTTTCAGTCCCCTACAAGCTTTGGTTCCCGAGAAATATCGAACACAGGTTGCCCTAGTTGGATGCCTTACGTAAAAATCCATATTTCTCGAAAATCTTTAGGGGCTAAAAATTCACATTTGCACTTCTAAAGGCTAGTAGTAGACAACTATCTATGTAGGGACAGCACAGCATACTTTGACAAAGCATAAAAATCTTCGTTTTCTTGGTTTCTAACCGGGAAAAAAATACGGTAACGGCCATATAAATGTATTAGATAGATAGTATTTACGCGAGCAAGCTAGAATTTTTGTAGGACCTTTTTAAGCGAAGTTATGATTTTTTTCTCGATTTTTCGGGCAGTTGAATTCTTTTAGGTTTTAGTTTTCGGCTTGAAACTCGAGTTGGATCAGAGTTGGTGCGAAAACAAGATAGCCATCTTATACAGCTTGCTTCGATCTATCGAACGGTACCTTAGAGCCTATCTAGAAACGAGAAGTTTACGATCTATTGCTATCGAAATTCAAAACGCACGGAACTTATGGACCTGATATATACTCTCCTGCTATCACGTGGTTTTACGAGATAAATAAAGACAAAAAAGTAAATAGCTCATGCCATGCTGATTATGCTGAATCGCCACATGACATGGCATCACCCGCCATTATAATAAAACTAAATACATTTGACGTAATATCTACAATAGGCTAAACTACCATGAATCTTGAGATTTACATAAAACTACCGTTGTCCCATAAGGTCCTCCGGTACAAACTCCATTTCGTACGATATAAGCCCATGCTCTGATATCGTATCCTCCGTTACACCTAAGCTTGCTTAGTTTAAGGCATGTCGCTGAAGAGAAAAGTAAGATAATCTTTTTTTCTCATGTGAGCAAAAAATGACTATTGAGCTTTCTGCACCTACCCTTTGCTTCAACAGGATTGGCTGTTGGAAGGCGGGGCTTCGAGATCTAATCAACGCTAGAGAGTGATTGAGCACGCTCGCGAGAGAGCAGTGTGCGTCGCAGGTGCGAGTGGTCACCTACCAGCCGCCAATCCCGTTAAGTCAAAAAGTACATCTTTTTCTGCTTTGAAAGCTTAATATAAAAAGTGTGTAAAATGTGATTTCTCACTTTTTAAAGGACAGGAAAGCTTATACACGAAGCTGCCCTTGTATTTTGGAATAATCTCTGTCTATATAGCGTTCTATCGACTCTTATCAGCTACAGATAATACATCCAAAAACGTGCCCATCGACCTTCATTTTTTTCTGAGCAGAAAATTCGTAAGATTAGATTTGCTTTTGCAAAAGAATTGAAATACTCAAATTTTAAACTGAAACCAACGGTGTACAGTAATTAATGAAATGATCTCTCCCCCTCCCCCAGTCCTTCAAATTTGCTGTAGCATCCTTCAGCAACTGTTTGATGGTCCTCTAGGCACGACATAAGTCATGCACAGGGCTCGGCAGGAGGTGGCTAGATGAAAATGGAAAAAACGAAGTCCCCCTTGACTTTTGGGAATTTTTACGAAGTCCCCTTTGACCCTGAACCAAATTTCCTCCAAAAACCCGAAAAATTCCCGAAAATCCCCCAAAAAACGAAACGTCCACTAAAAAAAAAGGTCGCCGTCGTCAATTTCCCGTATATCTTCGCTCACAAGAACGAAACCCCCTTTGCTTTTCGTCCCAAAAACGATATCCAGCTTGCTTGTAAGCCACCTGTGCCGAGCCCTGGTCATGCATGCCTTTTAACTGTTTTCCTGTCGTTAATCTAGTCTACTTCAATGAAGATGACTTAATACACATAAATGTCCACCCTCAACTATTTCAGTGTTGTTCGCCAACGAAAGTTGTCATCTGTAAAAGCTCAGAAGAAGCTATGGAATTCGAGGAGACACTAGCGCGGCTGGTTTGCGTTCGTCGCCAGGAACAAAAATTTGCTACCTATACCCTCCCCCCCCCATCATACGTACACAGAATGTTTATCTTACTCGAAGGTATCAGTCAAATTCTTACCCATAGCCACAAAAGCTGCCGCAGCATGAAAGAATGTTGGTGTCAGAAAGATGGACCTGAACAAAGAAATGACCCTTGAACCCTCATTGTCTAAAGTCACTATCAATTAGCACAGAAAACTCAGCTATCAATATCTTGTACCTTTATCCTGCCCTTAGACTGTATGCATACCCTGTCTGTCATCGTTTCTGCGGCCGAAACTGCCCAGCATGATCCTGCAAAGTAGTTTGCTTAGCGTTGGGAGATCCCATATTATCGAGTTAGAGGGTTATTTCTGTTGCACTTTTTCCTTTGATTCTGAAAAATTCGAGAAACGTCTCATTGTCTTCATTTTTTCTCCACACTAAGGCAAAACAACTTTACACAAGTTCACGACATATTTGTAAAGATGGTCAAGTAATGTGCGCGTATGATGAATTTTTGTCTTGAATCTTTAAACCTGGGCTTTTCCTCTTAAAATTCCTTACAATGGATTTTGATCTTGACGCTGCTTCTTCTAGGCACTTTGACGTTTCTATTCTAAAAAACGAAAGGTAGAGGATATTGCTCACAAGCAAGAACTTTTAAAATTTTCTTTTTATGTGCGCTGTGTAGAAAATAATGCGGGAAGTTCAAGAATAATTGTTCGAAATTTTTTTACAAAAGGTTTTGCGCGGCAACCGCTAATTCCATGGTGCCAATGGCAG